CCCCCCCCCCTCCTCCCAAGACCAGAGGAATTTCTAACGAGTTCGAGATGATCGACTCTGCGAATGACTCGGATTATGAGTTATGAAGGACAATGGCGGCCATTTAGTTTTCACGTTGACGAATTTCACTTTATTATCACTTTATTACGATGAAACATATCGAGATATATATTCTCTTTGTTGTGACACGCGATCGAAATTTACACGATTGTCGATAACTACCGGTTAAGCTCAAGTGCAATGTCCGCTGATAAGTGATTGACGACAAAAGTCAGATTACACCGTGCAATTACTATGTCGTGAGGGAACCACGTAGAGAGAAATTCAATGAAAGTTATGTTTTCTGAAAATTCTCGTGACTTTTTTTCAACACAAAAAGAATCGAACGAGACTGGAAACATAATTCAATACCTATACAAGGCCAGAAATGTCTATAGTCCTTTTCAGCTTAAAATTAATCGAGTAATTTCTATATAAAATAAATCTTAAGACCGATTTTACACAGAGATACACGCATGATTGTAATATGTATCTAATACCAACGATGAGTAACCTTTGTTAAAATTAGAATCCCAACATTCTATCAATATTAAATACGTATGTTAATAGGAGAAAAATTTTAATTTATATAAGATAAAACTTGTCACATTAATGGAAGAAATTTCAATTCATATAAGATAGAACTTCAGTTATTTGGCGGACTCCAGATAAATAGTTGGACAGCCACTTGGGTTACTCATCACTAGGATGCGGATTTTATGCATTTACAGAAAAATTGGGAGTTGTAGAAATCTATCTACTTATTAAATATGTCGAAAGTAGACTATATTATAACATGTATAATATTAACAATATATACACGTACATTATACATTATTTTATTATATATTAAATACATATATATTAATAATTTTATATATATTAATTACGAATAATAGTATTTAAATATATAATACATACAGTATAACAGTAATATATAGTAAAATACGTACCTATATAATAAATTTAGTATAGTATTATAGTACTTGTGTAATAAATTCTTTCCTACTTTTTTACCGATGTTTATAAAAATTTCAAAACTCGTAGAATCCGCATCCTATTCATCACTGATCGCATTGATGCAATCCTTAGTATTACGATACTGATTTGATCTCGACAATCTTTGCTGTTGGCCATAATTTTCGCATGAAATTGGCAAACGAATCGCGCCACTTATCCGGGGATTGCAATCGATCCAGAATCCTTAATTGATCAACACAAGAACAAACGAGTATTCCATTCTCAGACGCGTGATCTCTGTGTGAAGCCTATCGAACAAACGTGCGTGTTAAAATAAGAAGGAATCTGTTACTTCTGCGGCTGAAATCGTGAAATCTACTTTACTCTTGTAAATTTGATTCCTCTCTAGGAAAATATTGTACATGTCTGTTCACCTAAGCGAATGTAAATAATCTCAGAATGATCTCGAACTAATTTCATCTATCTATGGCAACATTCTAAAACTCGAATGCTTGATCTACTGTTGAAAAGGAAAAAGAGCAGATCGAATTTTTTCAATATGTATTTTGCTTGTTCATTTCAACGATACGTGTAAATATTAACACGTTGACACTGCCAAGGTGATTGTTAGTATTGATCGGCGTTTCCATTTCTAAGAATTACAAAAACGAGGTGAATATTACTTGCTAATGGGAATTTCAAATAACACGAACAATTAGACAATGATGAAAATTAAAGACATTTTGAAAATTAAAATGTGCCATTCTCTTGGCGATGATTTATTTTCGCGGCAGCGGTCAACGTGTTAGTGTCATAACTCTGATAGTTTTAACGGCGCTTCTTTCTATCCTGCTTGTCTATCTAGCATCTAGTATGCATCTTCAACATCTCTATCTAGCTTAGCTCGTAATAATATAATAATTATAATCAAGTTAAAAATGAAACAATTAACCTTGTGCAACGATCCCCATCTTAATCCCACAGTCACAAATTCTCATATCTACGAATTTTAATTTCCCATCGAGACATACACATACACATACGTCCGTTTTTCACGAACAAGGACTGTTTCAGTAATACGCTATAACTATCGCATAGTGAGGAGGTTTTAACTTTATGCTTCATCTGTTAATAAACAGTAAATTTTAACTCTCATTGGCTGCAATCGGATCATTTATAACCTCTAGGAATGCACCTTTAATATTCTATTGTAACTCCAACATGATTTTTGTACTTCTATAGTTCATGGTTTCGTGTTCAAAGAAATTCTGAAGAACTTTTCGCAGTTTAATTCTGTAGGTTTTAGTAAACATCACAATACAATCTTTGTAGTTTCAGAATTTTATTAATTTATTAAGGTTTCACGAAGCAATGAAAATGCACCAATAAACAAATATATAATATTTCTTTAATCCGGCGCCTATTTTCATACGCTCGATGATAAATTGTAACAATATATTCAAACACAAAGTTCAGTGAAATATCATTTTAAACAATTTTCAAGGGGGCTGAAAGTGTTGTTGAAGTAAACTTTGCACGATGTTGTCGAACTCAAAGACTCGAGCTGCCTTACAAATTATGTACCACGTTTTATAAATTACGTTGACAGGGACTGTTCCAAGAACGTGGAAATATTTTCTTTCGTAAATTTTTTATTATTATTATTATTATTTCTTTCGAAATATTTTATTTATTTCACTGTATTTCATTTCATGTTTCCGCCACTATTTAATCCCGCACTTGCACACCGCGATCTTTCGTTCCTCGCAGCGGATACGAAGATTCCCTAAAGTCTCTGCAACGCCGCGAGAGGGGCAACGACGGCTCGTACGTGGCGGGAAGACGGGGGAGCCAAACCACCTCGAGGAGGCGGCAACGGTTCTCCAACTCGTTCTCCAACCTGGAATCCGTTTACTCGCAGGAGATGACGTTGCAGCGGGAGCAACGTTGCTGCATCGGAACGGAGAAGAGGCGAAAGAACGACGGGATGGCACGCGAGCATCGTCGCGCGCATTCCGAGGCGGAAAACAATATCACCGAGACGGTGATACACGAACATCCCGGGACCGAGATCTCGCCGAGATCCAGCTCTTTACAAAATACGTCCACACTTCATGGTGAGTTGCTTTCGCAAGTGGATTTCAATTTTGTTGGCAAAATGCCACGCCGCATCGACGAAATATCTCGCCTTGTGTGGACAATGCTTCTACAACACCACCACCGACGAGCTATGTCGCATCTTAACACTAGAACTACCGACAGTTGAGACGTAGCTATCTCTACCAAAACCAGTCAATTTTACTGATACTGGTATAAGTAGCCATGATATAAAATTACTTTTATTTTAAATGAATAAAACAAAATTAATGTTTATTATATTAATCCTTTAGCTATCCCTGCAAACGTCATTACATCATTGCGAAGAAAAAATGTAACATGAAGTAGGAATTTCAAAATAAAGTTGTCAAAAAACCAGTCAAAAAATGACTGGTGTGGTAGTTCTAGTGTTAATGAAGACGATACTACTCTACAATATTACGCATAGCAGTAACAATATCTCGCGCCACTATCTCTCAATGTTGCCTGATTGATACTGATGAAAAGAAACGAAATTACGAAGCAAGACGCGTGGCCGCTCGCCAGTGGCATTGTGAAAGTGCCTTTATGAAAGGAAGTATCTCGCGAGTGATTAATGGACTTATGGATCTTATTCTTCAATTTGGAAACGTAAGAGACGAATAAATTCCAAGAAATTGACATTGATAAAAGCTGACAAACGAGCATCCAGCATTCCCTGTTACCTTGACCTTGATGCATGTTGTCAAGGACACTCTCCTGGCAATGAACAGCCTTCAAGCTTGTTGCTCGTTGAGAAGTTATTAACAGAAAAATTTTACTAGAAAAAGAAAAAGATGTAGATTTCGTTGACAATTTTTTTGTTGATTTAATACCAATGTTTATGCACGTATCAATAATGTATATATAATCAATACCGATTATTTATGGATATTCTGTCCAAATTGATACGGATACTTCTCTTTCAAAGGAAGCTAATTGTTTTTCTCGATTGTTGGGTCAGATGAATATTTCACTCGTTGGTGAAATTTATACAATGGCTTACGAAGCTTACTAATCTTTCACGTTTCAGTACTTGAGATTATTTATTACATTACATTAGACGATTATAATAAATAAATATAATTGGATACACTGGTTATTAATATTAATAATAAATAAATATAAATAAATTAATATAACAAATAGATTGCTAGTGTTTCTTCGAGAATTGTTGTATTAATTGTTTGATTAGAAGAAATAGAATCTAAATTGGGATAACTTTTGTCGTTTAAATATTATAACGAATACTATACTTTGGATATTTTATGTATTTTCACATATTATATGCATTCTTACGTCTTTCAATATTTCATAAATGCATACAAATGCACAATTTATGTTACGTTATTTTTCTCATTTCGTCTCGTATTTTACATTACAATAAACAAAATAAAATAAATGGATGAAAAGTTCCAAAATTGTATAATTTAACGCTAAACTGTTGCGATCTTCAATAGTTCAATGATACCAGTTACATATTAAGGAATAAATGAATTAAGGAATCGAAATTCAGATTCTTTTCGTTTTTCAATAAAACTTTCTGTCCAAACTTATATATTTTCTAATAAAAAAATATCTGTTTTTAATTTTTATAGAAGAAAACTTCCATCTCTATATTTTACTTTTAAGTAAAATTTATTTATCCGTTCTCAGTTTTACGACCCGTGTTTCAAATAGAACCTAATTCAAAATATTTCCTTAACTTTTCGATGGGTAAATATCGAGAGTTTAATAACCTTTTTGCAACATTACAGACTTTTACTATATTGAATGTACAGAATATACGGAAACTGATGATTCTGCATAAACTGAAAGTTGAAAAATTTTGCCGGATGATACGTTTAAAAATTTGTCTCACTTACAGGTATGTCGAAATCTACCCACATGTTGTATTAACAACAACGAGAGACTTGAGCGAAGAGGGAACTTCAAACGGGGAGCAAGATGATAGTCTTCCTGGCCATGAGTTTTTTTTTTTCTTTCTTTTTTTACTGTCCATATTATCCACACCGTATCGTCCACAATTTTGTAGAACATTTTGTTTTGTTTAACGAGCAATAAGATTAATTTTTTTCTAACAATCACTATTGTATAACGTCGCAGTGCGAGGATATTTCTTTAGGAGAATTGTTTCGTGCCTGTTCTCTACGAAACTCTTTCGTTCTTTCTAGAATTAAGTTCGTGTAATTTTAGCGTGGACTTTTTTAGCTGGATACTAACGAAGGGATTTCGTACGACGTGAGAAGAAAGTTGTATTATTATTAAGAAGTTACCAATTAACAAAATGCCCAGATGAAGAAGTATTTCTAATCAGCGAGCTATTTCCCAATTTCAGACGCGCGGATGTAAACGCGTTTGTAAATTGTGTCATCTCGTTACCAAAGTACACGCCATTAATTCGAAAGTCATTCATTTGCATGTGTAAATATGCTAGAAACTCGGTCGATACTCCGAAATCCATTTCTTTTTTTTTTTTTTTTTTTTTTATCGTTATTGTCGTTTCGTACTTTTATCTCTTCTATTGTTCTTTGCGCTATTTATCGTGTAAAAATGTTCTCTCTACGTGTAAATGCCCTATGTACAGTTTGGTATGTATTTTACGTTGGAAATGCGGACATCGTGCAAAAAAAAAAAAAAAAAAGAACACACATTGTGTGCGTAATTCTACATATATATCTCGAAGAAATTTCATTTTTGACGTGTGACAGTTTTAACAATTTCCATGCATATATAAAAGTGTTTTATTATCTAGTATTAATTGGAAAAACGTTTGACTAACAAGATGACTTATCTAATACGAAATTCATAATTCTTTTCTTGTACTATTCCGTGTACATAATTTTTTTTCTTTCTTCGCTTTCCAAGTAAATAATCGGCTCCTTGTTTCCATGTAGCTTAGCCTTTGTGAATACGCGAACTTTCCAACCGCTGTCATTATCAACGAGTACATTCTTTACGTTTAAAGCGACTGTAAGAAAATGTAACATATGTATGTAATAATAATAATGTATTATTTATATCGCGGTTACAAATCCATTAATAAAGGCAATTGAACGGTGTTTGCCTTCGAACTTCATCCTCCCTTGGACAAACAATTCCCCAGTTGTGAATCATATCACTTTCCTATCTTTGATCATTTCGGATTATACAGGCTGTCCCGAAATTTAAAACTTCAGGATCGTGCGGAGAACCTAAGATAAATTGAAGAAAAAAAAAGCTTGCAGGGATTTTGGAGAAAATTGCAAAAAAAAAAAAAAATGAAAGGAGCAAAAAAGTTTTAATCTTCCCACTTATTCGTTAATAATATAAATTTATTCGATTCCAATCAACTCGAAGGAGTAGCTGCAGTGTACGAAACAACAATGTCGTTTCATAAATTTTCGTTAAATAAATACAGGCAATAACGTTAGTAAGTGGAAAAGCGAAAACTTTTTCCTTTCTTCTGAAGGATATTTTTTTCTCAGTTTTTCATCAGATCTCGAAGTTTTCGACATGTAAATTCAGGGACAGCCTGTATAGAGTGTTTCAGATCTCGAATATGTATGCCATGGATCGTTTCGTCTTCGTGCCATCCGACGATTTTCGCGTCGATGCAAACGAACACCATTTTATATAATATTTATTATATAACAAAAGGTATGTCGCTATTTTTTCATTTATTATCATCGAATGATCTTCAATTAAAGATTATTGAAACCGTCTATAAGTATGCGAAAAAGCGGAGGTGACCTTGAAATATCCGAAACCCCTACAGAAAAATAATTATTGTCATATCATGAGTTTGTACCGAACAAAGTTCTCTCATATCTCTAGAAACAATTCTAGGAGCTGAATTCAAGATGGCCGAAGCCTCCATCCAGAGACAGTGCAATTATGTATAAAAAGTGTAATTATATATGAAAGAATATAAATATGTAGAATGTTGCAACGAAGGTTCTGTAAAGTCAATTGTTTCTTGTTTCTAGCAAAACGAAGCGGAACGTCAATGATTATTAACTTCAGGACTCGCAAAGTTTTAGGTTAGGTTAGATTCGCTATTGTTCTTCACCCCCGACGAAATTATTATATATTATTATATTATTATATTATTGTGCTCAATTATAGAGAAGAAGTATGAGTCCATATTTTTTTTTTTTTTTTTTTAACAAAATACTGCTTCAACACTCCAAGTCAACGTAGATTATGCAGATTATGTCATGCAGTTACTTATTGTTAGTGTGGTATGGTTCGTGGATGTCCATCCGTCTAATATCTAATATCTCTCTGGTTTTGTAAGGCAAGGCTGTGTTAGATAGCCTTATCTAGCCGTGACTCATGACAAAAAGCGTACTCTTTACCTTCACCTTTGGTTTCTTCTATCGTTATTTCGACCTAATGTTTCCGAGACGATTTCTCTTCCATTCAGTTTTGTCCTTTCCCCTCCTTTCGAACTCAACCACATACAGTGTTGCCCTTGATATCCTTGAATGTCATTATAGTTAACCCTTTCGTTCTCAATGCCGACTTTGAACGGCAGTCCAGAAATAAATACTCTAGACGCTAGTAGAGTACCAGCTATGTACTATCGTACCCTCTAGACTATGATAGATCCGTCGAGAATTTAAAGATACAAAATGTCTGCAGAACACGCAGAATTATCTGAAAATTAGGAACGAGTTACTCAAAGTGTCGACAAGAATTTATCATGTTCTAATGATGACATCATTATTTTATTGCACTGTGTAATGGAATATTTCTCGTAAGACGAGACTAATAAGAAGAATAAGAACTTGATGAATTCCCTTTCAGCTAGAAAGCTCAATCCACGCAAGAGCCTAACTTTCATCATAAATATTAGGGAAGCTAAGCATTTCATCTTCTACGATTCTACGTCCCATGAGATAGGGCCATCAATTTTATTTAATTCTAGGAAGCCCAATGTCCATCGAAACAACAAATTTCTCTCAGCGAGATCTCTTTTGCTTCGACTGGATATTATAACAACAGCTCGTTAATCTTTCACATTTTGTATATATATATATTTACTAATATTCAAGTTGCATTATAAAAATAGATTACTTTTACCAACTTGAATAATAATAAGGAAAAAAAAAAAATAAAAGAAAAGAAAATTGTGAATATTTCGAATATTCTGAGTTATTTGGGTTATTTATATTCCATAAAAGTTTAGCTCCTCTCGGTTTTATAAATTTATTAATGTAACAATGAAATGCTTGTTAATTTATACTTTGAACATTATTGAAACAAAGTCACTTCGTGTCAAATAGACGATAGATTAATCAGGGAAGAACAGCAGATGATCGAGAAATAATTAACAGAAACGATTTTTCTATACGAAATTCGTGCTTGTCTAGTTTCTACACAAAAAAAAGAAAAATTTGAACATGTAATGTAATATAAATAAATTATCGAACAAATATTAGTAAAGAAAACAGGTAAGACCAAGGCTCTAAATAATTAAAACCCCTTGATCGAGATCGAGATCCCACTGTGA